GGCACAGGACAGAGCAGGGTTAAGGGCTGTTGTACATACGATCGTTATGAGTCACAGGCAACTTGATGGCACATAACAACAACAATAATATCTATATCTATGATCTATATCTATCCGTATCTATCTACCTATCTGGAGTTCTGGAGGCTTAGTTGTACTACCAAGCCAAAGGCACATGGTTTGAATCCCCCAAGTAGTCTGCAGGAGAAAGATCGGAAATACCTCTCTGTGTGATTTACAGCCTCTGAAAACCCGTTGAGGATTGTTGGCTATAAGTTGGTTCTGACTTGACAATGCATAACAACAACAACAACTTCTATAAGTATATACTTATATACATATCGTCCCCCTTGGAAAAATCAAGGACTCCACATTCATTCGTTTTTGTTTTTTTTTACTTACTAAAGATCAGTTAGTTAGAGGTAAGCTAGGGCCTGAGTACAGAGTATGAACAAAATGGACCTAATACATTCCCTCACGAAATGAGTACTATGACTGTGAAGATGCAACCTCAAAAGATCCCACGCAAATTTACTAATAAATTCTGTAAAGTGAGATGCTATAAAAAAATAAAGAAAATAAGGGAAATAATGTATTTTAAGACTAAAGAACGCTTTTGAAAGAGAAGGCATTTTGTTTATTTATTTTTTAAAAATTTTATTTTATTATTTTTGTGTGCGTGCACCATCAAATTGGATCTGACTGGTACAGGAGGAGATTGTCCCTCTTTCTCCAGCAGAGCCTCTGGTAGATTTGAACTGCTCACCTCTGGGATTGCAGTGTAGTTTCCTGCCACTAAACCACCAGAACTTGCAAGGGAAGGCACTTTAAAAAACAGTTTATATTTATTTGCTTGCAAAGTTTGTATATATTGTGTTTCACACTACCTTTCACTCACATTGTGTTTCATACAATGATTCCCATTTATTGCCGGTGGAAGCAGGAGTGGCATCCACTTCCTAAACAACATGCTTCCGGAAACCCTATGAACTTTGATAAATGTCGATAGTTATAGAGGGGCTTCAAACCTTTTGTTCATAGGGTCGCTATGAGTCGTGCTTGACTCGAAGGCAATCAACAACAAATTTTATAAAATTAAACACCATTGAACTATGCCCATCATCAACCTGACTTTCACATCGCCACCAGATCTTTCCCATTTTCCTTGCCCACCCGTCCTCCACCCACCAAATGGTGTGACCCTATCATTGCCCCCTTCACATCTTACCCCTCTGCTATCCTCTTCCCCTCATACACACTTTACTAGTTATCTTTCTATGTCTACAATAATGGTCTTGTGCAGTATCTGTCTTTGAGACTGGATTATTTCACTCAGCATAGCTCGCTCCAGTCAAGAGGGCACATTTCTAGAGCTCAGATAGCCTGTGGACAAAACCAAGATGAGATGTACATCCTGAAAGGTCTGTCCAACAGATGAGTAAGGTCAGCGAGAACTGTTCTCCTGCACAGAGGCACTATTTCAAATACCTGGGTCCTCTGTCACAAGCCCTTTCACTTACCACAATATTACAAATAAAATACTACAGCTTTACAAAGCTATTTTGTAATATCCATATAAAATTATTCCGCGTGTACCTCTCCTGGTTATGGCACAGAAGTATTAAATAGTCCAAATGCTGCTCTGTGTTGCCTAAAACCCTCAAGAGTGCCTGAAATATGAAATGCCTCACACTGGTATCAAAGAAGACATTTAACAATATTAAACACATTGTGATGTCAAATTTTCATCATATCCATCTCCAGAATTATAGAAATTCTACATTCCATACCATTAGGCGATTTGAGTATAAATTAATGAATTCTAACAAATATGTGAAACCATGTGGTCTCCAACAGTTGTTGGAAGCACTCTGAACTGAGATTAGACTGAATAATAGAGTTGGGATTCCTCTGGCACGTCTGTAACTCAATTCCATAGTCAAAACTAGGTACAGACCTTTAACAGGGATTTTCAGCTTAAGCTTTAAAATGAAAGAACACATTAGAGCTGCTTCAGGCAAAGGTTCTAATCTTATTTTGTTCTCGTTTCCTCATTAGACTAATGGCAATGGAATTAAGGGACTTTTCTGAAGGTGCAATTATGGGAAGCCAATAAACAGAAAGGGGCCTTATATGGAATTCACAGAGGTCCCTCATGTTTAATTTCAAGGCCATATTGCAAATTGAATGACAAAGGCAGTGGAATATAGTGATAAATTTTTGCAGGGGGAAAAAAAAACCCCAAAAACAAAAGATCAAAACACAAAACCAAAAACCAACCCTATACTGATTTTTAAGATCTTCTATTGTAAAAGGCGATAAACTTTTCTTTTCTTTTCTTTTTTTTTCTGAGCTAGCCCATAAGAGAGTGATGCTAAGACTGAGTAAACACAGAAATTGTAAGGGCCCACTTCTTTCCTAACAGGACTAGGACAACACTTTCTTGCACTTGGAGAAAAATCTACAAGTTTTAAACTGCACTCATAGGAACCATTAGCTTCTACATTTGAACAAAAACAGAGGGAACTTAGAGTAAACGAGGGCAGAGTAAAGAACCTTTTAAGAAACTGATCTGACATCCTGAAACGAAAGATCACCTTTTCCCACGGTAACGGTTGTGCAGCCAACTCAAAGTTAACCATAGATCCTGAAATCCGGAAAGCCAGGAGCCTCTGGACTAGAGGCCAAGGAGAGCTTTTGACAGAAATGGTGAGGATTAAAGGGAGGTTCATTGTTTTCTCTCTACGTGACTGTGCAAAATGACATCTGAGGAGACCAAACTATCAACAAAACAGAGTCACGCTTGTTCTATGGTATTTCTTTTGAAATATTCTACAAATGTGATTGTCTTTGTTGATTGCTTAAGATTTACTTGTGGTAATGGCTTAAATAAAAACCTTTTATTATATTAAAATATATGAAATGCTATCAGTCTCTAAATAATCATCTTCTAGCCTGCTGAGTAATGATGTGTGTGAATGTCAGTGCACTTTACAGATGTCATGGAGAAACTATCACAAACGAATGTGCGCTAACCCGCCATCAGTCTGCTACAAAGACGTAGTACCCAGAGCCACAGAGAGCAGACAACGGCAGAGTTACAAAACTGAGGCACGGTGCGCAGTGGTGATAGGGACCCAGACTGCAGGCAAATCTCTTGAGTAGTCAACACAAGATGAGAAACACACACACACACACACACACACACACACAACCCTAAAACATCACCAAATGACAATTAAAAAATTATCCCTTAAGTCCATTTCTGCTCTTTCTTAAGCTCTTGAAAGCTGCACTGTGAAGAAGGCTTACATGAGGCTGTAAACCTGACACACACATCGATTCTAGGATACACACTGTGGTGTTGTTGTTGTGTACCGTCAAGTCGGGGCTGACCCATAGCTGACCCTCTGGTGGGTTTTCAGAGGCAGTTAATCACATGGGAGGAGACTGCCTCTCCTTCTCCCGTGGAACAGCTGGTGGCCTCGAACCACATGCCTTTGGGATTGCAGCACAGCTTCTTGCCTCTAGGCCACCAGAGCTCCCTCCACACTGTGCTAGTCCACTGTTATCATGTACCTTCTAGGGGGAACCAACACACAGCTGACCCTCCACAGGCTTTTCAGAGGCTGTAAATTGTACGGGAGGAGACCATCTATCTTTGCCCTGCACTTATGAAAATTATCTACACAAGAGTGAAGAAACACTCCTATGTGAACTATTTCCTTTAAAACATCACAACAGTCCTTCAAACTGATTTCCCCAATACAAGACGTTTGAGAGTCTTTCTTATGTTTCATTAGATCAGAAAATGACGAGTATTAACCAATCGCATCTCAACATACCCAATTCTCACACTTCCATTAGCCTTGAGGGTTACAGCACAGCTTCTTACCACTAGGTCACCAGAACTCCCTCACCAAAAAGGAATATTGTGATAAACAGAGAAGGACTCAAAGTGTCAAAGATTTGTGAAATGAATTGGTGATAGGAATTCACAAAGATTTGTGAATGAAATTTGTCAAGGATTTCTATAAAATTCCCACAGAAGTGGCAGTCACGACACTCTATGACCCTATCAGTGAACTAAGAAAGATCTTTTTAGTAGCCAAAAGAAAAGATGGCACTTTGAGGGAAAATGTATGACACACTCAAGCCACGTTATTTTCAATATTGTCATGTGCATGTAATAAGTGGACAATGAATGAAGAGGACTGAATAATGGGTATGTTTGAATTACGGCATCGGTGAAGAAGATGGAACCTATCTGGGACTGTTAGAAGCAAGGATCAATGTGCCTTGGCTAAAGTAGAGCAGACTATGCCTTAGAATCAAGGATGCTGAAACTCCCCCTCACGTCCACTGAACATGTTTTCAAGAAGGATCAACTGCACCACACTTCGTAACTCTAGAAAGCTACCAAAGCTCCTATAAATGTCAAAAACTCACCAAGACAATCATTAAAAACTTAGTATAATTCCCCAAATAAAAATGTATTCAAAGATAAAATGAGTATTATTTATCATTTTTAAAAGTATACTTTTGTTGATTATATAGTGTTTTCAAAGTTGACAATGAAATGTGAATGTACAGGGGGAAAAGGGCATTAATCATTGGGTTGTACAATTCGATGGGTTGGGTGTGAGGGAAATTGAAAGAATTTGTTTGAATTTGTATTAGAATTTTGTAAATAAACTAGTAAAAAAAAACAAACCCAGATGTGACAAAATATAATAAGATCTTTAGACACAAATATACTATTAAAGACACCAATTCACCAAATTGTGTTAGTATTATCTATTATACTTGTATTTGACATAAAATAAATCACTTGGAAGAAAAGTTCTTAAAATTTCACTAATATTTCTTAGTTAGAAAGCCTTGAAATATCAGGGAAATTAATAAAAATCCTGGCAACTAGACAGGTAATCATTTGGTTACTTTTTATTAGTTGTTTCCTTCAATCTGGGCACAAATTTTTTAATATGAACAAATTATCATTAACTACTGTCTGACCATGGCAGCGTCATAACAAGTTGCTTGTCAAGAAAAACCTCTTCATCCTCTTCTGTACTGCTCCCAGAAAACTCCGGCACGGATGGAATTTCAGTATCTTTTCTAGAAGAACTAGAAATGCATGAAAACGAATCAATACACAATGTACAGAACCAGGTTCCAACTCTTCATTCATCTTCTGATCAATACAATATTCACTGAAGTCACTGGAGGTTGGCAGATAGGAGGGGGACTGTATCAGACCAGGACCATAATTTTTAATGTGTCCAATACACGATGCCTTCTTTTAATGAAGAATTCTCGTCGTTCTCACTCTCCCGAGAAACAAAGCCCCAGTGGGACCAAGGGAAAGATGTTTGGGGTCTCTGGCTGTATTTTCATTGGTGATTCAGAAGGTAGCTTAGAAATTTGCACAGCCACAAGGATTCTCACTAAGCACATTCATATTTTCATTGGCTGGTTAACAGAATCCACTGAATAGATTGTCAGACAAATGATCTCTTCTGTATACAGTAAATCAGGATTATGTTGATAACCAGTCAAGGTAAGTCAAAGTCAAAATGAATGACAGCAAGGCTGTAGTTATTCTATTTTGTTGTATCTTATTATAGAGGTGAAAAGTGAAAATGCTAGTATATATACATGTCTGTAATATGGCAGGCAGTATAGGTGGGGGACGGACAGAAGCCTTTATAATTCAGATATTTTAGCCTTAAATTATCTCAATTTTCGTCTCATGTATGTCATTAAATAATATCGTTTACTTTGTGCTGGATAAAATCAGTATTTTTAGAATATTATTTTATACCCCCCCAAAAATCTAAACAATAGTTTTTAAACTCTGATCTGTGGACCAATATAAACCTGCAGTAAAACTTTCTGTAGTAAAGAAAAATGAAGAAAAGATAACATGCTTGTGGATTTTTCCTAGCTCCCAAAATGTTACAGGGTTGTGTTTTAGTCTGCCAGCAGTTTTTTATGTATCTTACTTATTATTAAATATATATGTTTTAATAATGAATGTATTAAGTATATTTTCTTCTATGAAATGGAAAAGTGAGAATTAGGGTTTTTTTTATGAAATTGCATGTTTAGGAAAACAATTAGCAACTTGAGGTGGGCTCCTTGTTAAGTGTTTTTCTTCTTAAAATATATTATTTAAGCGATATCAGAATTACAGTTATCTAAGAATTAAATCTAAATTATTTTCTTCTTCAGGAAGAGAGAGCAACATATTCTTTTTTACTGAAATATGTAACTTCAAAGCACTCAAAAGGATGCACAAATTAAGGGACTTTTATTTACATTTAATCTTATTCTGCAGAAGTACCTCTCCTCTCTTTTCAAGGAACTCTAGGTTTTCAATGCTAAACAAAACAAAACAAAACAAAAAACCCTAAAAAAAGTCAACTCTAAACTAAACAAAAAAAGACTAGTTCTTTATTTTAATATTTTTATTGATTTTCATATAATAATTCCTTTTAAAACAGACTACTTCTTTGAAGCACTTAGTAGTGAAACATGTCATTTATATAAAATAATGACTGATGAAATGATAGAAATTAAAATATGGTATTATTACTAAACTAGATTAAATTTCAAGATAGAAACCTCTCAATAGTCTATTTTAAAAATTGTATTCATATTGGGTGAAATTCAATTAATGCAAAGTATTGAAATTTATTAGGTTAATTAATTCAAGTAATGTAATTGTCTTTCAGTATGAGAAGAAGTGATGAAGGATTATTAAATTCCAAATGTCTTTTCATTTTTCTGATATGCATTATGCAGCAGGACTATCTCTTCAAGTTAAAGTAACAACTTCAGAAGTCTTTTATTAAATCTTGCTAAGGGTCTGAAAATGGGTGAAAAAAAAGAATGGTCATCTAATATACAAACTTGACAATATTTTTCTGGACATAGTGTTTTGGATGAAATTGTATTCTCCCCAAAGTTGTCATTGTAAACTCCAATTCCCTGTCTCTGCTGAGAGTATAATTGGGAAATGGGTTGCTTTCTTTGTTACAAAGGCAGCTGTAGGGTAGGGTATATTCTGGGTCACTGTTTTGAGATGTGGAAGAGATTAAACAAGCAAGCAAAGAAGCAGTGATAGACGATGTCACATAAAACCTGGCCTGGAGCAGAAGCTAAAAAAGACAAAGCCCTTCCTCCAGTGCCAACAGAAAACCCCAACAGTGACTTTTTCACTTATTACTGATGTTAAAGAATGGAATTTTACTGTGTTAATATGTTCTGTTAATACAAAGTCTGCCCCTGGACCTTGCACCCTGAATTTGGATTTCCAGCTTCATAAACTGAGGAAATAAATTTATTAGCGTCTTCCACTTGGTAATGTTTCTGTTATGGTAGCACTAGCTATCTGACACATTTAGTAAATTTAACTAGATGGCCTTGCCAAAAATTTTATTATGCACTATTCCACAATAAGGGATCTTTCACTTTTTCTGTAAAATGCTTGTCTGTCAGATACTTCTCTAAATCTGAACATTCAGATTAAGACAGACTAGGAAGAAGGATTGGACATCCACTTCTGAAAGAGCAGGTCTCTGAAAACCCTATGGACCACAGAACACACATAGAATAAATAACAAAAAAGGGCAACTGAGGTGGAGCTTTCAAGTATGGAAATATTTGTTAAGCATCAGGGAGTTGAACAATGACTAAGGAGGATAGAAGGAGAATTCAGTGACTGGGGTAATCGGCATGGGTGTATCGGAGACAGTGTGATTGGCACAGGACAGAGCAGAGTTTAGGGCTGTTGTACATATGGTCGCTATGAGTCCCAAGCAACTCAGCAGCACATAACAACAATAGCAACAACATTCTTACCACTTGAGCAGCTTTACCTACCTCTGTTCTTCAACTCCACAGGGTCCCCTCCAGCTTAACGCCTGAAGGAAATCGCCAGTGGTCTCACTTATATCTGGTGCGAGGCTGCTGAAGGCTGCTAACTCTTCTGAGGATAGACTGTAAGGGTCTTCTGATGGGTCTGCAATATTTTATTTCACGCATTGTTAACACAAAAAGCACGGTGTGAATGAATTACATATGGTGCTGAGCGTTTATCCTGACCAAACTACCTTGACTAACCAGACTAGGGAGCTCTAGTGGCTTAGCGGTAAGGAGCTACACTGCCAATCCAAAGGCATATGGTTCGAATCCACCAGCTGCTTCATGGGAAAAAGATGGGCAATCTCCACAAAGAGCATTAGCACAGAATGGTGTCTCTCTGGAGACTAAGGTGTGTCTGATACAGGCCATGGTCTTCGCAATCACTTGTTATGCATCAGAGAGTTGGACAATGACCAAGGAAGATAGAAGGAGAATTGATGCCTTTGAGCTATGGTGCTGGAGAAGAGTATTGAGAATACCATGGACTGTTAGGAGAACAAACAGACTTGTCCTGGAAAGGGTTAAACGGGGTGGCCCAGAGACCACGTCTCTACGTTAATTTCATTAATTTTTTTAATATGTATTTTTAAAACTGTATCAATTACCCAGAAAATTCACCGAATGTCAAAGAAAACCAAGTGATCCTTTTAAAAGTTAGAATATCGTGTATCTCTTTAACTCGTCTGCCTGTTAAATGCCTCATTATTTCTTTTCATTCTTCAAGAAATGAAAGCTTCACCCACACACAATTTGAGACAAAAAAGTGTGCTTTGCCAATAATGTCCTTCCATGCTTCAGGTTGGATAGATAATAACCATTTGTATTTGAAAGGGGGAAAAAAGTTAAATCTCCCTTTTCATGAAGCTGTTCTATGATTCAGATTAAATAAACAAAAAGCAAAACACAAACTCGTCACTCAAACCTTTGCCATCAAAACATTTTCAACCCATAATAACAGTGTCGAACATAGAAGGCCAGTCTCAAGGTTTCCAAGGCTATAAATCTTTATGGACACAGAACTGTTTCATTATTATTCCACAGAGTGGCTGTGGGTTCAAAGAGCAGCTGTATTCCTTAACTATATGTCCCAGTGCTCCTTTCAGACTGTTGTTGTTGTGGTGTACATCAAGTCGGAACTGACCCAAAGCTGACCCTACAGTAGGTTTTCAAAGGCAGAAAATTGCAAGGGAGGATATTGCCAATCTTTCTCCCATGAAGCAGCTGGTGGATTCGAACCATGCGTCTTCAGGATTGCAGTGCAGTTTCTTATTACCAAGTTATCAGTCTCCCTCCCCTTCACAGTAAGGAAGGCCAAATAGATACAGTAAAATAGAAAAAAATTCCCTCCGATGGCTTGGTGGTAAGGGGTTATGTGGCCATTTCAAAGGCAGTGGTTCAAATCCACCAGGTGCTCTGCAGAAGGAAGATGTTTACAGACCTCCCACGTGATTGAAAGCCCACTGGACTGTCAGCTATGAGTTGGTTCTGACTCGATGGTACACAATAACAGCAATATACAATTTGGCAATAAATCAGGCATAGGAATGAAGGTCATTACCGGGTGGCCTCCACTTCCTCACCAACATGCCTCTGGAAACTCTACGAACGTTGATAAATGTCGATAGTTATAGAAAGGCTTCAGGCCTTTTGTTCATAGGGTCGCTATGAGTCATGCTTGACCTGACAGCAAATGTTAGAAATGTTGTATTAATACTTCCCCCCCCCACTGATGAAATTGTAAGAGCCATTGAATTGATTTCCATTGTCCTAAGAATAATAGTACAGATTTATGTAATCTCGTTTAAACTAATTGTTTAAGCTACTGATCCACCTCCTGTCGATACTAACCCTCTTCCCTTCCTGTTAGACACAGAAAACAAAAGACACACTAAAAATTGGTTACTTGTCTGAAGCCATATGACCACATGATAGATGACTTGGAACTAAACCTGAGCTCTCTGAATTTCTCTGTATTGTAAATCACTTTATTAAATTACTCTAACTCAATGATTTTAGGCTGTCACTTCCTGTCCAATTTTTCCACAAAATAATCAAAAGCATGATACCTGAGAAATAGCAGCTGCAAGACAGACACATCTATGCACACACTGTTGAATCCAGCATTATTCACAAGAGCAACGAGATGGCAACAATCCAAGCGTCCGTTAACAGATAAATAGATGAAGAATATATGCTACAATCACACGATGAAGTACTACGCAACACTGAACACTGATGAAGAGTTCATGAAACATTATATGTTATGAATAAGTCTAGAGGTCATCACACTGAGTGGAGTAAGTCAGTCATGAAAGGACACTATTTTATAAGATTGCTCCCATGTCCTAAACAACATGCCTCCGGAAACTCTCTGAACTTTGATAAATGTCAATAGATATAGAAAGGTTTCAGGCCTTTTGTTCAGAGGGTGGTAATGAGCTGTGCTCAACTCCAAAGGAATCAACAACAACAACAACAACAAGCTGCATAAAAAGCCAAACTAAGGTTTACACATAGAATTATTCTAATATGATCAGAAAGAAGAGAGAAGTAAAAATTACTAGATAACAAACAATATTATTACTAGGCGGAAGCAGGAGCGGCATCCACTTCCGAAATGGCTTGCCTTCGGAAACTCTATGTACGAACAGTGCTCAGGCTGTTCGTTCGTATGTTCGCTATGAGTCTCTACGACTCGACGGCACCACACAACAACATTACTAGGTGAAGATACAGGTAATAGAGAATAAGTGGATGATCAGATATTATGGGTGTTGTAATTAATGTTATGAAACAAAATGTGTGTGAAAAACAAATATGAATTGGCATATACAGAGGAATTTAAAGAAATAACATATGAGCAAGAGCCTATGGTGATGAAGGAAGAAGTTCAAGCTGCTTTGAAGGAAATAACAAAAAATAAGGCCCCAGGAATAGATGGTATACCAATTGAAGTATTTCAGATAACAGATGTTGCCCTGGATGTGCTCACCAAGTTGTG